GATAGATAGATAGATAGATAGATAGATAGATAGATAGATAGATAGATAGATAGATAGATAGATAGATAGATAGATAGATAGATAGATAGATAGATTTCTGCTTTCTCCTCTCTAATTATCTATTTACTTGTTTGTTTTTCAGAGATCTGAACGGGAACAACCTGACAGTCATAACCAAGGCCGACTTCTCTGGTCTGAAACACCTCCGAGTCCTGTGAGTTGAAGCTAGAATTAAGCCACAATTTGGGGGGGGGGGCTCTTGTGTGGATGTACAGAAAGTCGACATTTGCATTCTTAGCCTCTTGACCTGGAAAACACTGTCCCTTGGTAGCAGACGGTTTCCTCTGTTGACCCGAGGGTTCTGATTTAGCTCGCTGTCAGTGATGGACACGAGGTGTTAACAGAGGGGGGGGGGGCATGCCACGGACTAATGGCATTTCCGGTGAGGCCTGTTCAGAATAAATGAGCTGCCTTTTGGGAAGGCCAAAGCTCATTGCTGTCAGGAGGGCGTTGAAAAAGACCCCCGCTTGTGTAATGTATACAACGTGGAGGTCTGTGAAATGTTTTTTCTCAAACACACAGATGCCATCAGGGACTGAGGACCAGAGAATGTGCTAGAAGGGTTTATTATCTCAGGCTGAATCATGAAAGCAAGGAAATGTTTGTTTTTTTATCACCATCCATGCTAAATGTCTTCATATGTAAATACACCATGATGGTCCATCTTTCGTATACTCACTCCATCCATGAGGAGTTATGAATACTTATATGATCTGTTTCTAAAATGGGAAACCATTGTGGGACAACAGTAATAGTCCTAGATATCAATACCATGCATACTACAAATCAGTCTGCTCTATAATCAGTAAGTGAATTCTTTTATTCAGGTGCTCTAATGACCAGGATTTTGTGTGATAGCTTTGGTTGATTTTAGCTCCTGTTCTTGATTTGCAGTCACCTGATGGAGAACCAGATCAGCACCATTGAAAGAGGAGCATTCGATGAGCTGAAGGAGCTGGAAAGACTGTAAGAGAGCAGCACAAAACAGACCGATTCACATCATTCTCAGCGCGCGTCAAATGGCCAAACGCTTCCTTCTGGGCTGACCATGATGTTTTAACCCTCCGTTTTTCCTCCATTTAATCCTCCACAGTCGCCTCAACAGAAATCGTCTGGGTCAGCTCCCGGAGCTGCTGTTTCAGAAGAACGAGGCCCTGTCCCGACTGTGAGTAGGAGCACCCGAGCTGCATCATTTCTGTCCTGTGCCCTCCTCTCTCGTCTCTTTCTAAAAATCTACATTTGCGTACTCCTGCTGGCCCCTGTTATCCCCACGCAGAGTTCTGGGGTGCCCTGCACACATCCACCTCACGTGTGCCTTTGCTCCGTGTGCAAGTCGTGTAGGTCCCGATCACAGCTTTGCAAACCTCCTTTTACAGCTTCTTGGAGCTACTTGGGGCTGGTCTAAGCAACCTTGAAATATGGGCTACCATTTGTTCTGGAGCTGTTGCTTCTTCTAGCTTTGCCTGAAGCAGAAAAACTACTTTCCAGGGGAAGGAAACAAATCCTTAACTGGGTGTTTGGGTTCATTTTCTTTTTTTATTGGTTTTTAATTATTTTTAAACCTCTTTCCTTTTCATTACGAGATCTTTTGAGGTTGTCTTTGAGTCTCCCAGGTCAAGAAATCATTCAATCAGTCACTGGTCAATCAGTAAAACCAGTTACACACACTTTCGGTCTGAATCCTGATAAATGGGTTTGTAATTACTAATCATAGGAGAATACCATGACTCTCTGTCACAAACTCAATCAGGTGGTGCTCACAAGAACAAGACAGAATCCCTTATGCAGTCTTGGCTCTGTGCTCAACGGGGTGTCTTCTTCTTTGCTTATAAAGCACACGAGGCCAAGAAATATGTTACTCAGATCAACGTATGAGATCAGAAAGAATTCAGTTGTGTTAATAGGTGTTAGAAAACAGCCTGAATGAGACCGCGGTTCCATTGAGACGTGCTTCATTTAGTTTCACAGCCATTAGCAACTAGAAATATGGTTGCCTTCTGTCAGATTTAACCGAAGGAAAATTGGGGTGTGAAGTGAAGAAACAGGTCTCTTCTGCTGCTAATAAAAGACTGTTAGAATAACTGTTAGAAATGTCCATAAGTGATGGAAAACAAGCTACCATGTTGATGTAGAGTGCCTGTCTAACGGCCTGTGCCCATTTTCTTATTAACTGATAGCTGGTGCCTTGTAAAAAGTATGTATTCTAATCGGAACCATGATAATTAGTGGTAATTAGTAAGTAAGGGAGTATGAGAACTCCCTTAATCATCGTGCAGAGCCAGGGTTCTTTCTTTTACAAACTAAACATGACTCATTAGTGCTTATTCGTCATGTTGCGTCTCATTTCTGAATTTGCGTCACAACAGCAAACCATCACATAAACAGCGCTATGACAGCAACGCTTGTTTTATAATTTACTTTAACTTTTCTTGCCTCAGGCTGTGTGCTCTCTGCCTTTTTTAATATCAAAATTTGACCTATTTTTTTCCCTCCAGTGAGCACTGCTAGTAGTCTCCCTTCAGACTGGGCAGCAGCACAGTCCAGGTTGTCTTATTGGAGCCATTGGAAAAGCATTGGAACACACAAACAAAGAGTCTTTTTTCTCGTCGCAACTGAAAAAAAAGAGACAGTGGATTTAAATTGAGCGTGAATGTGCATTTGGGAGTACGGTACACCTGAAAACAGAGCTTTAGAAACAGGAGAACAACAGCACAAGTGGCATTAATTAAGATTGATTGGTCCGTCTATTGTAGTGATGTGTTTTTGTACCTGTGTGTGTACACTAATGTGCACGTTTCTGTCGTCTGTGTGGAATGATTGGACAGCAAAAGTAAAGCGAGGAAGGTGAGATAGTTAAAAGCCATGTAAAGTCTGATTTAGTGTCTGACGGTTGAGATGAAGACGAGCAGGAACGTATGTGTGTGTGTGTGTATCTGTGTGTGTCTTTGCAAAGACACCAGCGAGGGACAATGAAGGCAACACAAACCGAGTGAGGGTTTGTGTTGGAAAGCCACTCTCAGTGTGTGACTGTTTGTCCTGGTTATTTGCTGTTTTGGCAGTTTCACACTCTGGGCTCCCAGCAGGGAGAGTGGAGATGGACTTGGCAAGTTCAATCAATCAGCACGCACACACTCACACACACACACACACACACACTCACACTCACACAGTGACGCTCCCGGTGTAAAGCTATTAGCACCACCTCCAGTAGGAGCAATTTCTTTTCCTCCTGCTGTGTTGATGGAATCTGTGAGTCCTGATGTCACACAACACACAAATTCTGCTTGTGTTGTGCTTTTTGTTGCTGCGCATTTCTATTTCTTGAACACAATTGTGTTCTATACAGTCTCTTTCCCCTCTGCATTGTTATTTCCGCACACATTTTTTCTTGAGCATACTGGTGGACATGATCTCCCAGATGCATCCACTACTAAAACGATTGTATGATGCCTAATGATGTTTTCAATCATTTTGAAGTTGTGTGTTGTTACAGAGACACTTGTGTAATGTTTGTTTGTCTATTCCATTGGTTCTGATGATGATATTTCCACCATTTTGACCCTCTCTTGTCCATGAGCAAAACCTTTAGCAGCCACAGAGGCCTTTACTATCTCCTATGTTTGGAACTATCCATGTCTGGTGACCCACTTCCTGTTTCCACCTGTTCTTATTTGTATTAGGGCTGGTAATTGTTCCATCAGGCCAGCACACAGTACTCTAAATAAAATGAGCATGGTTCTAACGTGCACATCCAGCTGATGGAGCCTCTGGAGACTCCTGAAGATTTGCTTGTAGATGTGGAATAATATATCATACTATTTGTCGATTATAATAGATTTGGACTATTGTTTCACTATGGCACTTTAGTTCATTTATGTGTTCTTTCTCTTACTTTTTGGGTTTTAGCAGCTCCCCTTTGCCTTTCAAGTCCCAAAACAGTCCTGTCTGTGTTTTGATGATAGCCCGAAGCAGGTTAGCTCTCCATCAGGGGAGCGGGAAATGAATGAAAAGTGTGTAGGTAAATGATACACACGCACTGTCGTAAACACACCCTTGTGCACGGAAATATATCTGCCTTGACCCGGAGTCTGACTGTGCAGCTCCAGCAGGTTTGCTCTAGACGGGGGGCCAATTAATTCCTCTGTTAGACCAGAAGCATTCACATGGATGGCTTAGAAAAAAATATTCAAATGTGACGCTGAGTGAGGTTAGACAATGTGCCGACTAATTCTGTAGTTTTCTTTTATCATTTGCGCATCCCATTGACAGCTTAAGGGCCAGCAGATGCCCCATGACAGTAAAGTCTCAGAATTAACTTCAAACTAACTTACCCTAACTTAAACATTGAGAATATCCCAACATCTAGCAACATCAAACTGTGATTTACCTTTAAGAAACTATGGAAACAGAGCAGTAGCTGTGGAACAAGATCAGGTGTGGGAGCATAATTGCACAAGATGGGTGATGGAATATGGTGCCCTCTTTAAGCCATTCGACACAACTTCCTTTAAATAAGAAATGCTTCCGTCCAAACGTCTGTTGGTGAAAGTATGGAAGTCCTTATCTCCCCCAGATTGAAACCATACCATACCATAAATAACTAAACCTTCCATAACTAAACCCTTCACCACATTTACAGATATGGACATTTCCTCTACTGACCACAGAGGTAAATAGCTTAGCAGCCAGCTTTAAATTGGTATCTCATGCATGTGCTTTCTCATCTACGGTAACAGTAATGGACCAGGATACCCACAGCGCAATCTGTAGTACTGCACCTAAGTGAGGAGAGGATGTGTTGGATAACTCCTTATCTAGGTAGAATGCCACTCTGCAGCCACAAAGTGGAGGTTGATAACGCTGTTCATCCTTTAACACGTGATACTTTGTTGTTGTTCATCATTCCATTGACTAAGTTGTTAGTGGTAGCAATGGGGAAATGAGAAATCAAATAGATTAGCAAGCCTTATTATCTACCCGTCAACCTCTGGGCACACCACTATAGGCTGCTTCTACCTCCCAGCAGGGTGGATGCTGTAGGGTGGATTTTGGGGTTCAACAGAAGAGGCTGCTGAATTCCAGCAGTGACGAAAATCTGAATTGAAAACCAGTAAGGAACATTACAAAGGCACTAAAAAAAACACAAAGCCTAGGTATGCTCCCATGAATAGAAGAAATCCAGAATATGTCCCCATTTAGGAGACAGTTCCAGTTACCATGTTTGCTGTGATCTTTTATTTTAAGTCAGCTACCATCTTTTATAAGAAATAATGTAATGCTAACTGAGAAAATAAAGGAAGAACTGAAACTTTTTTTGGGGTGAAATTGTAGAATTTAGCTGCTGCTCTGAAACATCTGAGTTGTTTTACTCGGTCAGGAAAGTTCCAACGAAAGAAAGAAACCATCTATATTCAGGCCAAAGTGGGTCAGATTAGTACCGTCCAGTATTACATTCACATGAAACATCTATTCCCAATTTACTCTGCTTGCAAACTACACAGAAAAACAAATCTCTTTCTGGATCCCAGTCTGATTGAGCGTTGATGGTGGAGTCTCTCATGGAGCAAGCTGGGAATCCACACATAATTAAGAT